GCTTTTGCCAATACACTATATATTCATATGTAGTAAGATAATCAAACTTAACGGAAGTGAATTATATGAGTTTCATGATCCTACTTGAATATATAGGTCTTCTCTTTAATTCAGTGTAATCCTATGGAGAGAAGAAATACTAAAATTCTATATAATTTTGTTGATAGTCAAATTTCTAATGGAATTAGAAGGCCACTTTTTCCCAATATTTCTACAGGAATGTAATTAATGTTTTTAGTACATCTACGTGTCATTAAATAATTGTGGAAGGATTCTAATGTTAAGTTTCAAGCAAGTAGGGAGCGGTACTTACCTCCATCCTAGGCATATAACGACCATGACAATTGACTCCACGTCTTGCACGAGCCCTCAAAACTTTCTCGATTTTGACATCAAACCCATCATATAGCCCCCATTGTTCATCAATTTCCTGCCTAGTGCTTGTGATAACAAGTTCAGCCGCATCAAGAGAAAGCTCTTCTGCCTCAATCCTCCGCATTATTCGATAAGTGGAATTAATATCTTCTTTGGACTGCCTTCCCTGTTTCAAAAGCTGCTCAAGCTTGTTTCTTCCGAGTGAATGTCCAGTCAGAACCATGGGAACATTTAAAGCACCGGAAAGAAGAGCAACACTGTCCCCAGCATCAGCATAATGACCATGAATCACGTACGGCCAAATAGGTTGTTGTTTCTCGTCATCATGACCAATTTGTTCACCCAATGTCTTGGACATATTCAAGATGTGTGTTAGAGCTCCATCCACAAACTCCTGAATGTGAGGCCACAACACCTCTTTCCTAAGGTATTTGTCACGAGGACCGAAAGGTATTCTTATAATATATGCCCCAGCACTTTCTCCAATTTCGCTGCCACCATCACTATCACCACCTGCTTCTGATGGACAGCCAATATTCAACATTTCTGCAGGCTCACCATAGCTCGAATCAACTTCCGGCGAGGAAACTTGACGGGTTAGCAAATCCACCCTGTATACTTCAGGCATTTTAGCAAGTGCCTTAGCAAGTTCCACTACGTATTTGATCTGATGAACAAATTATCAGGTGCAGTTAGTGGCATTGCATGTGGCTTATTTACATGCAAATATAGATATAGTGTGTGTTCTTTGAAAAAAACTATGGTGCATATAATTATATAGTAAGTCACCTGACCACCAGTATCAGAATCACGACCAAGCTCCATATTTTCACCACGAACTAAACCATGCAAACTTGTAATAAAAAAGAGATACATGCATGAGTATGTACATTAATTAAGTTTGAAACATATTGGTTACAAATAAACTAGCTACTTGCACGGATTAGCAATTTTTTTTTTTTAATTTGATTCATAGAAGTTAAATCTTCTTTAAGTGCAGGTATTTGATTTACACACATACCTTACAAGAACAATATACAACTTCTTTTCCTTATTAGAGTCAGATAATGCTTCCAAAGTGGACAAGTTTCGTTGGATCTTCTTTCCAGGACTATCAAGTGTAATTGTCTCCCCACCACATACATCTCCTTCCGACAAGTCTTCAGACATGTCATCCTCTTTTACATCTTTATGCCCTTGTTCCCGTTCCCATCTCCTATTTGCTAACCTTTGGATGTCTTCCAATTCCAACTACAAAATAAACAAGTATAACAATTTGATTATTAGTAAATTTTAATACTCTGGAAATGCAGCAAACACAAGTGTTTTTTTGTGAAAGCATTCTAGTAAGACTAAAATGTCGCCTTAGTACTCCACACTACATATTTGCATCGAAAGAACCAGCATGTCATTGTTGATGCTCATTGCTCAGTACAATAACTACAAACAAACTTTATGTGTGGAAGTTTGAATCAAGAATATAAAGTAAAATTTAAATAATCAATCTGAGCAACTGACAATTACACACCCATGTTTTTGTGTAATATACTACATGTTCCTTCACTTGTTTTTTTGTATAATATACCATTAGTACATAACTCTTCATTTTATGTATTAATATCAATATTCTAAAAGGCACTAGTGTAGTCGGGCGGTGACTAGCCCGCCTAGGTGTCGACAAGGGTTTCTCTTTATTTAATTGTTTTATTTTTATTTCCTATCAATTATAATGTTTTTTACAAATAATTTTAGAATAACATTACAATAGAAATAGCTCAGCTCATATACTTATTAAATGTTATGTAAGAAGCTGGTTGCCGGAAGTGAATATGATGTGCAAAAAAAATTATTAAATGTTATATTTTTTTAGTAAAATTATCAATGATGAAATAATTAATAGTTTTCTAATCGAAATAAGAGGTTTGTGCTTTTTGGCCACTAAAAAGTTCAAAACATTGTTTAAAAAAATTATATATTTAAAATTTATTTTTATTGTTGTAGAATAAAAATAAAATTTAGAAATATACTTCAGACAAAACAAAGAAAATAAGTTGGATCAGAAATAAATTTATTTAGGGCCACCTAGGAACCACATTCCCCTCCTAGGTGTCGTCCAGGAGCCCACTGCTTTTTCCTACCGATCTCAATGAAATCAGAACGTTCGGCCACGACCCAGTGTCTGGACGGGTGCCGAGGCAAATTTAAGAACCATGATTAAAATTAATAAAAAAATAAAAATTGATTAAAATATCCTACTTGACGTCTTGGATCCTAATTAGTTTAGGTTTAAAAGTTTATGCACAAAACCAAAGTTCAAAAAACTTAACATAATTTAAACTACTTTTGTTTTAACATAATGCATAGTAAATATATGATTAATTAATCAAGTCCATGTTGGTATCAATTAATCATTTGATTGATTACCCGCTTCTTCTTACGAGTGAGGTGCCAGATTCGCCAACACATGTTCTCGAGACGAGCACTGCGCTCTAATGTGTTCCTGGTAGCCACTACTTTGATCCATGTGCGGTAAAGGTCGGTCTCATCCACCCCTGTCACAACCTCCTCCACGAAGTACTTGGTCGGATCGAAAATCACCCTTTCCCTCAGGTTAACCAGAGACGGCCTGTTTTCCACCTCAATCGCTGATGTGCCGCTATCGAGTATCGCCTCTAGGTACCCGTTAATCCACTCATTTCCGGCCATGTCCACGAAAATCCTTAGACAGGGCACAAGAACAAATAAAAAATAAAGGGGATGGGGGTAATTTTATTCAGCCAGGAAAGGCGTAATTAGTTGAGAGGAAAGTGTTTTAATCTCAAAATGGATGGTCGATCGTTTCGGTTAGGGGGGTACATATATATAGTTTAATGAGTTGTAGATGTGGAGGAGGATCATGAGGCGGTTGGTGGCATATGTATGTAGTTATACATGATACTAGTAGGCAAAAATTGAGGCCCTTTGAAAAAGACGGAAGAAAAAGAGGACGGTCTTTTTGCAAGTGTACGTACATGTTCACATCACATGCGTTGAGGTGTACGGTTTCTAAATCGTTGTGGGTGTTGCTTGCCACGTGTGATTGTATGTTCTCATTTTTGTGTGAACATGAATCAATGAGAAGGTTATAATTTAATTATGGTTATCATTGAAGCGGTAGATAAAATATGAGCTTTTATTCTTTACTCACCATGATTATATTGAGTTTTACATACAGTGAAAATGATCGTACACGCATAACCATTTTAACCACATCTTCATTCATATATTTTATTTTAGTACGTAGTAATATTTGAGGAAAAACTTCTTCAGTCTCCTTTCACAATTTCACTTTTTATATTTCTTCAATACTACCGTACACATCAACAATAATGTCCAAGCGTTACACTCACAAGACAAAAATAATTGACATTGTAAATATATAAATGGGTTATATGGATTTCGTTAAAAACAAATAATTGTATAAGTTTTGATTGACCAGTCATCTACAACGACTTATCTACATCAACGAGGGATTATCATCATCTTAAATGATGAGTCAACAATATAATTGCTCAACCACCCATAATAATTATCATTCCTGTTGCCGCTAGTAGTTCCAACTAACACATGAGAGAGTATAATTTAATGTTTGTAGATGACTTAATGTTGCCGCTCGTAGTTACAATATTTAATTATCGATATTATAATAAGGAAACAATAATCGTATTCTATAAGAAATCTTTATGGTTAAAAATACACTTGAGATAAAGGAAAAGTTTCCAAAATAGGACTAAAAAAGTTTGAAAATTCCAAAATAGGACTCCCGTGTTTTTTATTTCCAAAATATGAGTAATTACTGCCAAGTTTGGAAAATACTGCCATGTTTAAAGTTTGATACAGCCAAAACATGGCAGTAATTAGTTTTATTTTGGGAATAAAAACATGACAGTCATATTTTGGAATTTTCAAACCTTTTTAGTCCTATTTCGGGCAATATTCTCTAAATAATACTACCCCCGTCCCGAAAAGAAGTTTTCGCTTCCTTATATGGATGTCCTAAAAAGAAGTTCTCATTTTGATAAAAAAAAACCCACTTTTAACCCAAAAGCCACAACTACCCTTACTTTTTACTCACTTTTTGCTTAATTTGATTATAAAGTAAAGACATACTTTGAAAGTCAAAACAAAGTTCTACCTTACATAAATATGTGTGTAGGTCAAACCGGGAACTTTATTTTGGGGCAGAGAGAGTATGATTTATTGTTCTTTTTACAAAAAAATTGCAAGCTTGACCCTATTTTAGCAACCATTAAGGAAGTAGTTTCAGCTCACTTTACCTCAGGTCCCCTATCCCCCCCTAAACCCCTTAGGGTAAAAACAAGTTCTCATTTTAAGATGAGTTATATACAAACATGCATGCATGCATGTGTGTATTACACATATAGATATATGTGTGTGTAGATAAGAATCAAAGACAAACACCTAATTTACAAAATTTAAACTCATCTTGGTCATCCATTGAATTAATCTAAAGGCTCGAATCGCACGGTGACATGATAGAGTATATAGACTCGGACCCCCAGGTCTCACGACTATTGGGCCCGGACAGCGGCCCGCATACGCTCAGTAGATAGCATTTATCTCATTGTACACTCTATTTTATTCATGTATATCCATTAGAATAGAATAGATACCATTTATTAGCCATTTATTGGCCTTTTATTGTAACTGGGCCAGTCAGGCCCAAGCCTGGAAGCCCAGCCCTCTTTTCTCCTATAAATACTCCCTATGGGAGCCATGTAAAAGGGACTAAATGGTTGAATGGTTGATTGGAATTCATTATACATATCACTTTATCTCTCTAGCTCTCCCTTCTCTCTAAGATTAAATAATCTATCATTTGGTGCTCTCGTTGAGAGTTAGAATATATCAAGTGAGATCCTCCCGACCAATAATATATGACGTGATAGCACCTTGGCCTTAGTTGGGGCAACATGCACCTTCGGTCAAGGAGCATGCCACTCAAAAATAGGGCCGAGTCCCAATTACCACTTCGGCCAAATTGGAGGAAGAGGTCATCCCTCTCCACTCAAATACCAAGAGCCCGTTTGGAGAACTCTTTTTTCGGCTTATCAGGCTTATCAGCCAGCTTTTTCACCAAACACGTAACTTTTACTTTCGCGCGCTGAATTGTGTAATAAGCCGAAAAAGTAAGGTTGGAGTTACTTTTCTGGCTGTATTGGCTGAAGTTACTGTAGAGGACCATTTTAGCTATTTTTACATATAATTTTTTCTTTAATTTATTAATAAAATTTATTTTTAAAATATTTTTTTCTTAAATCAGCAGAATCAGCCAAAACAGCCACTCCAGCCAGAATATCATAAATTTCAACAGAATCAGCCAAAACAGCCGATTTTGGTGCTACCAAACGGGCTCAAGTAACGTACAAAGAAAAAGAAGCAGCCTGAGTAGTAGCTGATTCACATCGGCCAGAGCACTCGCATGCTTAATAGTCTTCCCAACATACTAGAACAAAAGGACAAGTGCAGCGGACTCCACCGACTCTCAGCTCCAGCTTGGCAGAAACAACCAGCTAGAACTCCGCACCGCGTCGGCCAGCAACACCATCGGCCAGCATTTGGAATCAATTATCCACACGTCGGCCAAGTGCCGCCACGGCTCAAGTGAAGCAACTGGCGGCAGCCCCTCGTCTCCAACAGGTGCACCCCATCGGCTAAACAATTGGGAGAGGCTTGCCATCGGCCAGTACACCATCGGCCGGCACACGTCAACTGTCGACCCGCGCACCGGCCACCACTTCGGCTGACACCACTTCCGCCGGCACCCCATCGGCTGGCACCCGCATCGGCCGCCACGCATCAGCCGGCTCTTCATCGGCCAACATTCATCAGCTGTCATCCATCGGCCGGCACCACTTCGGCCGGCACCAATTCGGCCGGCAACAGATCGACGCACCGCAACGGCAGGCACTGCTTCGGCCGCGCACCGCACCGGTCAAAAAGAGGGACACCGCATCGTCCGGACCGCATCGTCCAAAACAGGGCCGCCTCGTCAAGCCACCTCATCGGCCGGACCGCATTGCCCGGACCGCATCGGCCAAAACAGGCCACCTCGTCAAGCAACCGTATCGTCTGGACCGCGTCGGCCAAAACAGGGTATACCTCGGCCAGAGTGAAGGTAACCCCCTCGTCCATAGCTCCCATCGGCTCCAATTCACAGACTCTTCAACCAAATCAGGAACTCTGGGTCACCTCTGCCAAACAGGACCTCCGTCCAAACCTGCAAAATCAGTCACCATCGGCCATTGGAATCGCCTCGGGCAGAACCCATCGGCCATTGGCCTCGCCTCAGTCAAAACCCGGCGGCCGGCGACACATCGCCTCGCCCAGCCTGCCTGACGAACTGACGCGTCGCATCAGGCAGTCTCCTCGGAGAAGCAGGTCGGTTTGGCGGAGAAGATCTCTGCCCCTTTCATCGGCGATCGCAGCAGGCGGCAATCCCCATGGCATCTGGCGAATAAGCCGCTTCGTCTTCTTCTCCGTTGTTCCTCACAAACGAAGGACGCACCGTCTCCTTCTCTGTATTCCTCGCAAGCGAGCTACGCCGGGCTAAAAACTCAAAATCAAATCAGCAACGGGCCAGCTATTTAATCTCAGGAGCTGGATTTCTTAAAGAGCAGGCCCAATCTTATATTTCCCTGCTTGAATACTAAGCAGGGCAGGCTTCGGCCCAAATACAAGTAAGTCTCACAAACCTTTCCTCCTATTTTATGCATTAAATATGGGGCAAAATAGTTTTACTACTATTCAAAAAAAAAAAAGTATAGTTTTACTACTATTCCGGAAAAAATAGTTTTACTACTATTCCAAAGAGAAAAAGAAAAAATAGTTTTACTATTATTATCATCGCCAACATTGCTAGCGGATTAAAATCCCCAATTGGTGCGGGCCAAAGCCTTAACCTTCCGAACATCTTTATTTGATGATTCGGATTATATTTGGGTCCCTTGACCTACCCCGGTTATCTTTATTTGATGACCCGGGCATCTAGAATGAGAGTCATCATCGACCGCACACGACATTATGCCTAGAAGCGGTGCACCTCATTCCCCTACACGCTAATTGCGTCATCCTAAAGCCGTTGCAATAAACAACGCACCTAAAGCCGTCGCAATAAACGACGCACCCAAAGCCGTTGCAATAAACAACGCACTCAAAGCCGTTGCAATAAACAACGCACCTAAAGCCGTCGCAATAAACGACGCACCCAAAGCCGTTGCAATACACAACGCACCTAAGGCCGTTGCGATCCACAATGCGCCTACAAAGCCGTTGCAATAAACAACGCACCTAAATATCGTATCGGCACAAGCGGTGAAACACCCAAATCGGCCGGCGATATGCAGGACGAAGGACCTGTGTGCATGGTCCAACGTCTTCAAACGGAGAAGCATACCGCGTCGTCCGCGCGGAAACCGCAGGACGACAGGCCTGAATTAAGGCTGAGGTTACAAAAACTCCACCCGTCAGTAAAATTTCGCTCAGGACCACAAAGGGCGGCCGTCAAAAGACGATGCCTAGTCCGGTCCCTCGTCGCCGATAGACGTGGAAAGGCAAAAAAGGATGCCACTGACACACCAAGCCGAGGGCGTATTTACTCCCTCGCACTAAAAAAAAAAAAAAAAAAAGAGGGAAGCCGACGGACCGCGCACTTGCCGGCCTCGAGCAATAAAAATAAATAAATTCCCCAAACTTATTATTCATCTCAAGACCGGCTCCCAATGCCGAAGCTCTTGCTCCATCAGCTTATGAACGGCCTCCCCAACGCCGTCATACTTTTATATGACGATCGGCTCATCATCGCCTCGTCATCATCCGGATCGGCTCATCATCATCGCCATCCGTTCTTCACGATCGGCCCCTCGGCCACGACGTGATGCTTTATCTCAAGACCGGCCTCCCCAGCGCCAAGTGTCTTGAGCTAGCGACCGGGCTCGCCATTCCCCTCACGGATGGCGACTGTCGCTTCTACATGACGATCGGCTTCATCATCGCCTCGTCATCATTATCCGGATCGGCTCCTCATCGCCATCCGCACATCACGACCGGCCTCCCAGCCTTGGCGTGATTATTTCTCCTCAAGACCGGCTTCTCATTGCCAAGTGTCTTGAGTTGGCAATCGGGCTCGCCGTCCCTTCCTGGATGGTGACCGTTGCCTCTATATGACGATCGGCTTCATCATCGCCTCGTCATCATTATCCGGATCGGCTCCTCATCGCCATCCGCACATCACGACCGGCCTCCCAGCCTTGGCGTGATTATTTCTCCTCAAGACCGGCTTCGCATTGCCAAGTGTCTTGAGTTGGCAATCGGGCTCGCCGTCCCTTCCTGGATGGCGACCGTTGCCTCTATATGACGATCAGCCTTCACATCGCCTCGTCATCATATGTTGGACCGGCTCATTATCGCCGTCGTCCTTACATCGCGTCCGGCCTCTCGGCTAAGGCGTGATACCTTATCTCAAGACCGGTCTTAGTCATCCCTTCCCGGATGGCGACCGTTGCTTGGATCTTCGGATCGGCTCATCATCATCGCCATCCGCACATCGCGATCGGCCCCCCGGCCTCGACGTGATGATCTAACTCAAGACCGGCTCCCTTAGCGCCAAGTGTCTTGAGCTAGCGACTGGGCTTGCTATTCCCTTCCGGGATAGCAACCGTCGCCTCTACATGACGATCGGCTCATCTCCGCCTCGTCATCATCATTATTCGGATCGGCTCATCATCATCGCCATCCGCACATCACGACCGGCCTCCCAGCCTTGGTGTGATTATTCCTTCTCAAGACCGGCTTCTCATCGCCAAGCGTCTTGAGTTGGCAATCGGGCTCGCCGTCCCTTCCTGGATGGTGACCGTTGCCTCTACATGACGATCGGCCTTATCATTGCCTCATCATCATATCTCGGACATGCTCCTCAGCATCTTCGTCCTCACATCACGATCGGGCCCTTCGGCCACGACGTAATGCTTTATCTCAAGACCGGCTCCCTCAGCGCCGAGTGTCTTGATCTAGCGATTGGGCTTGCTATTCCCTTCCGGGATAGCAACCGTCGCCTCTACATGGCGATTGGCCTATCATTGCCTCGTCATCATACATTGGATCGGCTTATCATAGTCGTCATCCTCGCATCGCGGTCGGCCTCTCGGCCAAGGCGCGGTACCTTATATCAAGACTGGTCTTAGCCGTTCCTTTACTGGGTGGCGACCATTGCATGGATTTTTGGGTCGGCCCCTCAGTGCCGATCATGGCAGGCCCTCGGCCTCGACATGATCATATTCCCCAAGACCGGTCTCAGTTATTCCTTCATCAGATGGCGACCGTTGCTTGGACGTTTGGCTCGGCCTCATAGTGCTGACGACCTCGCATCACGATCGGCCCCCCGGCCTCACGTCAGCGCCAAGTGTGTTGAGCTAGCGATCGGGCTCCCCATCCCTTCCTGGATGGTGACCGTCGCCTCTACATGACGACCGGCTCATCTCTGCCTCGTCGTCATTATTCGGATCGGCTACCCATTATCGCCATCCTCATGTCACGACCGCCGCCCCGGCCTCGGCGTGATGATATATCTCAACACCGGCTTCATCAGCGCCGAGTGTGTTGAGCTAGCGATCAGGCTCGCCATCCCTTCCTGGATGGTGACTATCGCCCCTACATGGCGACCGGCTTATCATCGCCTCGTCATTATTATTTTGGATCGGCTCCTTATCACGGCCTTCCTCACATCACGATCGGCCCCTAGGCCACGATGTGATGTCCTATCTCCGAGACCGGCCTCTCATTGCCGAATGTCTTGGGTTAGCGATCGGGCTCGCCATCCCCTCCTGGATGGCGACCGTTGCCTATATATGATGATCGGCTCAGCATTGCCTCGTCATCGTATCATCAGACAGGCGTCCCACGCCCCGTCCTCATGTTCAGACAGGCGTCCAACGCCTCGTCCGCATATATTCAGACAGGCGTCCAACGCCTTGTCCCCACATTCAGACAGGCGTCCAACGCCTCGTCCTCATATTCAGACAGGCGCCCAGCGCCTCATCCTCATATTCAGACAGGCGTCCAACGCCTCGTCCTCATGTTCGGATCTAGCAAACATCTTGCGGTCTCCGGCTCAGAGACTAAAGGATCTCAGATCTCATCTATAGGCCCCTCGGCCACATCTTGCTCTAGCATCTTTATTTGATGACGAAGGGCTCTCATACAGGCCCATCGGCCATGTATCTTGCTCCGTCATCTTTATTTGATAACGAGAAGCTCATCTATAGGCCCCTCGGCCATATACCGCTCTGTCATCTTTATTTGATGACGAAGAGCTCATCTACAGGCCCATCGGCCATATACCGCTCTGTCATCTTTATTTGATGACGAGGAGCTCATCTACAGGCCCATCGGCCATATATTATTCTGTCATCTTTATTTGATGGCGAAGAACTCATCTACAGGCCCATCGGCCATATATTATTCTGTCATCTTTGTTTGATGACGAAGAGCTCATCTACAGGCCCATCGGCCACATATCGTTCTGTCATCTTTATTTGATGACGAGGAACTCATCTATAGGCCCCTAAGCCATATCTCGCCCCGTCGTCTTTATTTGACGACGTGGAGCTCTTATGCAGGCACCTCGGCCATACATCGCCCCGTCGTCTTTATTTGACGATGTGGAGCTCTTATCCAGGCCCCTCGGCCACACATCGCCCCTTCGTCTTTATTTGACGACGTGGAGCTCTCATATATGCCTCTCGGCCACTACCCCCAGTCATCTTTATTTGATGACGTGGAGCTCACATCGGCCCGTCGGCCTCATATTATGGTCATCTTTATTTGATGAACCAGACATCATATTGTGGACGGTCGCTCGACCCATCCCTTAGTCATCTTTATTTGATGACTAGGACTACTGATCATGACGAGCTACCCACATCTATGGATCGGCCTCGGCCATCCCCTCGGCAGACGGACACCGCTGCAGCTCCACCTCTAGGCCGAAGGGCTCGCACCTTTTGCTTCGTTCTGGGGGCATCCGATGTACTCTTTTTCCCTCATTAGGATTTTTTCCCACAGGGTTTTTCCTAATGAGGTTTTTAACGAGGCATCGCCCCATTGTGGATCAAAAGGTGTCAACCCTCGGCCCCCTGTTGCAGACATCATCAGACATGCATTACTCTACTCCTCTTCACCTCGTTACACTCGCCTCAAGGAGTGGGGGACTGGGAGAGCGGGGGACTTAGCGCCTTCGCTACCAAAGAAGCAGAAATTCAAAATTTTTGCAAGGATTGCCACTCGCACCGACGACATCATCATATCACATACATATTCAGCTGCCACATCGGCCAGTACATATACATAGCTCCCCGGCCTCAGGACCGGTGGTGATGGTCTCTGGCCTGCGACCTTCGGCTGAGGATTTTCCCACAGGGTTGCCTCAGCCAGGGCTCACCGGGCGAGGCGCTTCGACGATGAGAGCAGTTTACTCACCGGACGACGACAGATCAGCACACAATTCTACTCCCTTTCGCCTCGAGTACTCTCGACTCAGAGAGTGGGGGACTCCTGATAGAGTATATAGACTCGGACCCCCGGGTCTCACGACTATTGGGCCCGGACAGCGGCCCGCATACGCTCAGTAGATAGCATTTATCTGATTGTACACTCTATTTTATTCATGTATATCCATTAGAATAGAATAGATACCATTTATTAGCCATTTATTGGCCTTTTATTGTAACTGGGCCAGTCAGGCCCAAGCCTGGAAGCCCAGCCCTCTTTTCTCCTATAAATACTCCCTATGGGAGCCATGTAAAAGGGACTAAATGGTTGAATGGTTGATTGGAATTCATTATACATATCACTTTATCTCTCTAGCTCTCCCTTCTCTCTAAGATTAAATAATCTATAATGACATTTTGGTAATAAATCAAACTTTTTTCGGATGCAACTCTATGAACGCTAATATGCAACTGTGATTTCATGCACAATAATATACAACATTTTTCAATAAAAAATACAATAATTTGAACCTCAATGTATACAAAAAATGCCCTTATATGTGTATACACACACATAATGAAAGAAAGGAAACATTTTTATTAAGGAAAAGCAAAAAGAAAGTACAATATGAAAAGAAAATTAAAACGATAACAAAAGGAAAGCTAAAAATAAGGAAAATGCTCAACCCAAAGTACACATATTTCCCTCTCAAGAACCCAAATCCTCTAAACCTACATTGATAAACCTCAATGCTCCTTGCGAGTTTGGGAACACATTCTCATGCGGACATGCGGTGTGAGTGTGGACTCCTTTGTCTATAAATTTACACACACAAATATATACGGAGTATATACGGTCGAATAATCCAAATTGTGATACCAAACAAAAAGAACCCATACAGTCAAATACAGTAATTTTCCGATCCCTAAGAAGTCAATGAATAATACTCCGTACCAAAAAACGAAACACAAAAGGAAATCATGAGATGCTGCAAATCAAGCCATTATCTTAGCAGATCTAAGGAAAAGACTGTCAACAACCTTTCCCATGTTTGAGACTATGTCCAGCGTGCCTGATAAGTCCCATCTGTCATGGGATCATCAAAGATGACGAGGCATCCAACACCCCTGATACACACATATTTAATATATACGTGTGTATGTATATTGAAGGAAACATTTTAAAAAATGTTGGAACATTTATCAAAATTTATTGAAGAAAAGGTCAAATAAGTCCTTTTGTACTAAAATATTAAATCTTGGAACATTTAATATTACTTCTCATCTATCACTTAAGCTCATGTACTAAAACAAGTAGGGAAATTTACTATTAACAATCTGAGGTTATGTCATAATTATTAATGCAACTTTGCGTTTTCAAAAATCAATTAGTTACCCCCTGAGTTTGGATCATTATCATTCTTTGCCCCTCACGTTAATATTTGTCAAATTTAAATTTAATAAGATTCTTAAATTCAATGAAAATGTCTATAAAATTAAGTATGCCTACTTTACAAATGGATCAATTTGACAATTTAATCAGTTTTTGATCTGCAATAGTAAGTTTTTAATATTTAAAAACTCTAAATAATTGTTAATTTGAAGAAATATATACAAAAATTGTGAACATTTTCAGAATATCAAAGTAAATATTTTATAATTGTTAAAAATAATAGTATATTCTACATCTATTTAAGAGGTTTTTAAATTTTTTATTATTTTGTTTTTTATTTTCACTTTATTTTTTAGTTTTATGATTATTTTATTTTTATTATAGATTAAGTTTTTTAGATTTTTTATCTGTTTTAAATTTATACTATTTTTATATTATTATTAGATTATTTTTTCAAATTTTAATGAACTTTTGTAAGATTATCAATATTCCTAATTTAATTTTTAAAAAATAACATGCTTAAGTAGGTCAAATTTCTTTATTGATTGTAAATTAAATGTAGACGTGCTAATATGATACTTTTTTTTAGTGCATGGGCTTATGCGACAAATTGGAAATAGTAGAAGAGCTTATTTGACCCTTTTTCCAAAATTATTTATTACAATGAAAAGGGAAATTGAGGGAACATAAGACCTTACCCAAAAGTTATGGAGGATTACAAGAAATGAAGAAATAAACAAAGATTCCAACCTGGGTACAATAGATAAGAGCTCAAACAATATACGGTCAATGATTTCTATTTAGATCCAATGAGCACAAATTAGATAAGGAAGTTTTTTTCTTTGAAAAAACTTTATCGGACGATGTCTAGCACATGTGTGCGAGTTAAGATGCTATATTTTATGAACGAACTGACTAAAGGATATTACCAATTAGGGAGTGTAATACGGGCACACAAAGCGAGGAGTATTGATGACCCAGTACGTATTTCCTGAGCAAGTTTCAAGGACAAAATCTGCATAACCATCTATAATAGCCCACCTTATAGAAGTAAAGACATTTTACTAATCTTTACAAACTAAAAAATCTCAAAATTGGCCAGGATTCATTACGAATCTAGATAGGAAAAAGAAGAGCAAACACCTACTATACTGGCAATTATTATTCCTCACTATTGAACTATCACATTGATTAGGAGAATGAAATTGATCTTTAAAAGGAAGAGGATTGTAGTGATCATATGCAGGTAGAGGGTTTATTAGAATGAACAAAAGTGCATTGAATCGTGTGTAACAAATAAAATTTTGTAATTTATATAGTTCCCTAAAGAGATGAGGACCAAAAATGAAGCATATACGATAGTATGTTTTAATCATATGGCCGAGTTCAGAGGTAGGACAAATAGGTTCATTGCCCCATACTGCTAAGGAATAAATTTTCCAAATATATTAGACAATAACCCATGAAAGTAAAATCATAAAGATCCCCTCAATATTGATGTAGCCAGCATTAAGCCATCGAGATATCAACCATTACCTCAATGAAAAATTTGAACACCTTGGAACTGAGACCATCCCATATAATGAAGCCATATACCAAGTACGTAAGCACACAGATAAAAGCAATGAACTATTTTAGCATAGACCTGGTGACAGGATGAGAAAACAGATGGTATGTGTATATGTGTGTGTCTATATATATATATATATATATATATATATATATATATATATATATATATATTGAATTAAAAAACTTGAAATGTGTTCACTTTCTATATCTGCAATAATGAATGGCACATACTCGTCAGAATCGATTACTCAACAACTGCCCACCCACTCCACCTACCCCCACTGCCCATCATGACTCCAACAACTACCAAACCGGTTTTACACAAGTACCCCCGTTGTTACTACCATCAATTGTTGGATATACACAAAAATACATGCCTTTATTGTTAATATGCACTAGGACAATCATACAAGTATGACTTATGCTCGGTCAATTCTGCAGCCTGTGAAATCAACATCTGAGTATACCACCAGGTCAAACCCCGAATTATTGGGATACCAAAGACCCAAATTTACTGTACCTTTGAGATATCTCGGTGTCCTTTTTACAGCAGTGAGATGTGATTCCTTTAAATTTGCTTGAAAGCGGACGCATAGGCATGTTGCAAAAACAATGTCGGGTCTGCTGGATGTGAGATACAATAAGGATCCGGTGATTGCCCAATAATTGGTTGCATCGACGGGTTTCCCTAAGGGGTCCGATTCAAGCTTGCTTGAGGGAGACATTCGGGTTTTCATCGGTGCCTTATTGTCCACTTTGAATCTTTTGAGCATGTCTGGATGTACTTAGACTGATTTTTGAAAATTCCATCTGGAATTTGTATGACCTGCAGCCCAAGAAAGAAGTTCAACTCTCCCATCATACTCATTTCGAACTTGGTGCACATAAGATTGCTAAACAATTTTCAAATTTTTGGATTTGATGTAACAAAAAATGATGTCATCCACATAAATTTGTGTCACCATGATGTCATCTTTATGACATTTGATGAAGATTGTTGGGTCTATCTTGCCTTTTGAGAAGCATGATTCAACAAGGAAACCTGATAAGGCCTCATGCCAAGCTCTAGGAACTTGTTTCAGTCCATACTGGGCTTTATTCAGCTTATAAATATGATTAAGGCATTTTGGATCGAAAAAACCATATGGTTGTGCAACATAGACCTCTTCTTTTAGGTCTCCATTCAAAAATGCAGTTTTCACATCCATTTGATAGGTAGTGAAATTTTCTGAGCTGTATAAGCCAGAAACAGCCTGATGGCCTCAATCCTTGCTACTGGTGCAAAGGTTTTATCGTAGTCGATTCCTTCTTGTTGATTATCCTTTAATTTAGCAACCATGCAGGCCTTGTATCTGATGATAATTTCGCCCTCATCCTTCTTATTTTTGAAAACTCATTTGGTGCTTATAATAGTTTTTCAGTGAGGCCTAGGCACTAGGGTCCATACTTTCAATCTGTCAAATTGATTCAACTCCTCCTGCATTACTATTATCCAGTCTGGATCAGTCAGTGCATCTGTCATCTTTGGTTGTTCCTTCTAACTTAGAAAACATGAGAATAAGCATTCATTGGCTAATGGAGTTCTGATGCTGACTCCTCTAGATGGATCACCGGTGATTAGTTTGGGGGTGAGCTCTTGTCCATTTTCTCTCATGAGAGAGAGGCAGTAGAGTTGTGATTGGTCGATTAGGATCGACATATTCAAGAGGATCTTACACATCTATAGGTTCTTTGTGAGGAGTTGGTGTATCATGGTGTTCTGTTTTTGTTGGGAAAGGTCCATCATTGTCCTGATCATGAGTTGGTGCTTCTTCTGATGTTGGTGCGGGTAGCAGATAGGTCTGAATAAGTTCATTGTTTGTAGTTGGTGATGCACATAACTGACTGTAGAAGTGTTCACACAATGAATCTAGTACCACGTGGTGATCTGATTTGACCTATTTGCTTGTTCTCCCTTTTCAGATGAATCTGTAGAAGTGTTCACACAATAAGTCTTTGGATTTTCTGTGGCTGTAGGTTCAGAATGAAAATGTTTTGTTGCCAAGTACACCATTTCAGAGAAGCTGACATTTATGCTCTTCATCACGGTTCTTCTGTCATTCAAATGTACTTTGTATGACTTTGAGTTGGTGGAATACCCAATAAAAATTCCTTCATTTGCCTTACAATCTTCATGTTCTACTGCAGGTAATTTTGTATGGTCCTGATAAACGTCATGATAATGTTTGAAGTTTCGTCCTTGGATCGCAAAAAACTTGGTCCATGTATAACGTGAGTACTCATCCACAATGACCAAAGTGTATTTACATCGATTTATGCTATGCACGCGCATCGGTCCACACAAATCCATGTGAAGTAGACCCGAGGAATGAGACAAATTTGAGTTTGACAT